GGTCGGCAAACCGCTGATCCACCACCACCACTATCACCACCACCGCCGCCACTTCTTCCCGTTCTCCGCCACCTGAAGGCACCCCAACCCGCACAGGCTCCCCCCACCACCCGCCAACAAACACACCAGTGCGAGGTATTATGACTATTATTGGCGTCACGGCTAAGCAGTCTCAAGCACCACGACACGCACACATACACATACATACAAACAACCGCACAACAACATTTCGCAATATCATCATCAGTATCATCATCAGTATCATTATCATCATCACGGTCCCTTCATCCAGATGGCCAACCGACCCACCGGCTAAGTTTCCTCATTCCTTTATCACCACCACCACCATCACCCACCACCGGCACAACGCCGCCACGTCATGTTCACTCCGAACACATCCTGAATGAGGCCGAGTGGGGCGGCACGGGGCGAAGGGCGCGCCTCTCTCATGAGCTTCGAGAGTCCGCCCCCTCCTCCTGTGTCGCTGCCCCCCCCACCCCCGCAGCCGCTGCCGCCATTCAGCCCGACCGGGCCGCGGAACCCCTCTTCGTCGCCCCTGCCGCCGCTGTGGAGGCGGCGGCGCACTCCCTACACACGAAGGCCGGCGGCTCGTCCACCTCGTCGGGAATGTCATTACAGCGAGTGTGCGACCACACGCCGCACATGTCGCACGCGATCATCCGCTCTCCGTCGTCATCCTGCAGCACATCACGCACATGTCGGATAGATAGATACATCATATGATTTTTTAATAAGATTTTACCGATTTGCATCGTCGTACATTCGTACGGGTTCGCTAACCGCCCAGCGACCCACCGACCCACGGCTCACCTGCGTGCCGCAGAGGCAAGCCACTCGCCAGTCCTCCGGACCGCCTGCGTGACGCCACCGCCGGTCCAGATCCAAACCGCTACAACGAACAACCACCAACGGTAACTGCGGCGGTCTTTGTGGCTCCGTCTCCATCACTGTCTCCGATACCGCTGTCGTACTCGGATTCGCTGTCGTACTCGGCGCGCTCAGCACCGCCGTGTCCCCCTCGGCCAGGACCTTCATCAACAGCAGGGGGACATCAGCATCAGTAAGGCCCTAGCGCCGCATAACACAAAAGCTTGTGAACGCGTGACTGTCTGCACGGGTGGTACATCCGTTTCTTCCTTCTCCCTCTTCATCACCTCATAAATTCTACTTTATATATTCTACTTTTTTTTATGGCTTGCGTCATGGTCATCATCTTCTTCCTGTTCTTTTTGAATTGTATTTGAAAGCCGGAGATGGCCCTTCTGAGTTGTGTACAGACAGCCGTACAAAAATGTTGGGGGTTATATTGATCGTATATTCGTTTGTCGTCAACCCGGCTCGCGCGCACCTGCTCGTCCAAGCCCCGTACGACTGACGTTACGACCATGCCGCCACCGCTGCGCGGGCAGCACATCCGGTACGTCCCCCGGAACGCCGCGGCGGCAGCACGTTTGAGATCGCCCACCGTCACCACGGGCGCCGTCGTACCATCCGCCGTACTACCCGCCGTACTACCCGACGGCTCCAGGACCACGATCTCTGGCGGTGTAAGCGTCAGCTGACGGGGAACCCGTGGCGGCGGCGCGTGTGCCGCCGTCGCCGCCACCGACACCGCCGCGGCGGCGGCGGCCGCCGCGGCGGAAGCGCGCGTGGCACCGCTGCGCCGCGAAGGCCCCTGCTGCTGTTGCTGCTGCGGCGGCGGCGGCGGCGGCACCCCCGCTAGAGCTGTGTCGTCGTCCAGCTGTAGAGCCACAAGCACCCGGACCTTGCCGTCGGCAGCGGTGGCGGAGGCCGCCGCCGCCGCAGAAACGCCCCCGTAGTCCTTAACGAAGTACTTCGTATCTTTGAGCATCTGTACCGCCGCGGCCATGTACGGCAATGCCAGTGGCTTAACCGCTGTGAAGCGTTTTGACACCAACGCCACGGCGGCCCCCAGCGCGGGTTTGTACAGCCTCAGGACGCTGCAGTACAAGTACTGTATGTCACATTGCGTCTGGTCGTTGATGTACGTTAAGGAGGTGTTGTGATGGGCCTTGCCGGGTACGACATAGGGGTTGGTGGGCGCCGGCGGCTCTGGGTCGAAACTCGTACCGTTGCCGCCGCCGCCGCCGCCACCTGCCCCAACGCTCATGACCAAGGTCGCGAGGCATCCGCCGGGCCGGCCCCGCTTGCTGCTGCTGCCGCCGCCTAAGCTGCCGGCGCCGCTACCTTTGCCTTGCGAATCCGGAGCCCTACCCGCAGACGCCGCCGCTACCATTGCCTTGTGGATGTACGTCAGCGGAAGTGTACGGAGGAGCCCTTCGTACGGCTCCTGCAATGCCGAGGGACCCAACGACGCGACAACGGCAGTGCTGGCGGCGGCGGCTGGAGAAGGCGAGACAAGCGGTCCCCCGTCCGCCGCTGCCGGTGGCGGCGGCAGCGGCGACGGCGTCGCGCCGGCGGCAGAATCCGGAGAGGGAGCTGACGTGGCTGCATCGGGTACCGACGCGGAGGTTGGCGGCGGCGGCCCCGGCGACGGCCGAGTAGCAACAGAGTCCACCAATGCGTGCTCTGACGGAGGTGCCGTACTGTCGTACACAGGGCCGCCAGCGGGGCCCTTGCTGCCGTGATCGCACCTTGGCGGCGGCGTCGACGACCGCCCCCTCGTCCGGCCGCCGCCGCCGCCGCCCTGGAAACCCTTCTGCGACCGGCTCCCATCGCAGCTGCCGCCGCTGCCGCCAGCGCCAGTGGCGTCACGGCCGTCCTTCGCCGCCTCCGCTGGGGCTCCCATCGTCTGCCTGGTTGACCGTGGCAAGGATGTGAGAGGACCCGACGCACAAGCCGCAGCGGTGACGGGGCTGCATGCCGTGTCTTGCGGTCCACATCCTCCTCCTCCTCCACCAGCAGTGGCGGTGCCGCCGACAGCGGTGCTGGCGCCGCCGCCGCCGGACGGCACCGCCGTGGCAGCACCAGCCGTACGGCACGGTGTTGCGGCAGTTGTAACTGTAGTGACGGTTGTAAATGTGCCCGATGTCGTTACTTTTCGCCGTTTGCCGTTCTTCTGGGGCGACCGAGCAGAGGGGCGTTCCCGCGACTTGCGGTGCGAGACGGTCTGGGACTGCAACTGAGATGGCGACTGAGATTGTACGAGTGAGTGTACGAGCGACTGGGTTTCGGAGTGCGACGTTTTTGCCCTCTTATGCCCCGTTCCAGCATCCCTGGCGGAAGCTTGTCCCGCCGCAGTTGCCGTATTCTTCGACGCCGGCGGCCCGGTGACAGCAGCATCGCCCCGCTGTCGTACCTTCAAAGCGCCTGCAGTGTTGGCGACTCCTGGCTCGGAAATACCCGCCGTCGTCGTCGCCGCCGCCGCCGCCGTCGCACCAGCAGCGGCTGCCGCAGTTGCGGTGGTTGGCGGCAGCGCCGGCGCCCGCCCGTTGCCGGCACGCAACGGCGACGTGAGCACCACAGGTCGAGTCACTCGGCCCAATCGAATCCGCAAGCTGCCACTCGGCGGCGGCGGCGGCGGCGGCGGCGAGGTACACGATGCGGCCGCTGGACTCTTGTCCAGCCGCGGTGGTGACGCTGCCGCCGTCTCTTTGCCTCCTTCCCTCAGCGCCTTGCCGGCAATTGCTGCAGCTCGCATCGGCCGCGCCGCGCCGCTGCCAGCTGCCCTCGCTGCATTTGGCCCAGGTGTCGCCGCCGCCGCCGCAGCAGCGGCGGCTGCGGCCGGCTGCGACTTCGGCTTCGATCTCACCGGCGGCGCCGCTTTTGTTAAGACACACCCGGAGCTCGCTGCTGCGGCGGCGCCGCCAGCGGCAGACGGCTCCTTAGCGCCGCAGATGGCAGCGGCGGTGCCGCCGCCGCCCTTCCCTGGCGCGGATTTTACCTTAGAAGTGGAGGCTCCTGCCTTGACCTGCCCGCCAGAACCGCTAGTTTTGGCAGCGGCGACCGCGCCGGCGGCGTTGGCGTTGACGTTTGAGTTGGCGGCTGCGGACCGCGGCACGACAGCGGCGCCAGCACCAGACGCGCCGTCGTCGCCCGTGGTAGATGCACATCCGCCGCGGCGGCGGCTAACAGGATTTGCTGCGCAGCTGCCGATGGCGCCGCTGGCGCCGCCGCCGCTGGTGGTGGCGTGACCCTTCAGAGCGGTGGTCACAGAGGGTGACTTCCTACTCTGTGGTTGGGTGTCAAGTACGGCAGCAATGATAGCGGTAGCGGCTGCCAGGGCCGCCGCCGACGGCCGCCGCCGTACTTTGACCGAACGTGGCTTCCTGGGGACCGTCAGACTCTCCAGAAATACTGCTGCTGATGGGGCCTTATCATCGCCTCCGCCGGGCGCCAACGTCGTCGGCGGCGGCGCCTTCTCCTCCTCCTCCTCCTCCTCCTCCGTTTTCAGCTTCATGGCGGCCGTACGCCTCCGCTGAGCTTCTGCCTCCACCTCCGCTGCCGCCGCCTGCGCCGCCTGCGCCGCCAAGCGAGCTCGTTGTGGGCGCTGACCAAAGCGCAGTCGGGATGCGCTCTGCTGCTGCTGCTGCTGCGGCGGCGGCGGCGGCTTAATCAAGGTGCCATCGTTCGCCGCCGCCATCGCGCCCGTGGCGGCGCCGACCTTCATTCCAGCGAAGCCCTTTTTGGAGCCCTGCTCCTCCTCCGATAGCTCCTCTTTAACGACAGGCGGCGGCGGCGGCGGCGACAAGGGCTGAACAGACGTCAGCGACGGAGCACGCTGAACGACATCGATGACCTCGCCGCCGTCGACGCCGCTGCCGCCGCTGCCGCGGGCCGCGGGCTCAGGTGCAACGTCGATGGGCGCCTCCAGCGCCGTTGACGGCGGCGGCGGCTCAATAACGATGTGCAATTCGGCAGGGTTTTGCAACCGACCCGGCAACCCCGCCGCCCCTGCTCTTCCCTCCGCCAACCCAGGCTTGCCAGTCCCCTCTCCCTTTCCTCCCGCCGCCGCCGCCGCCGCCGCCGCCCCTTCTACAGGCTCTATAGCAGCATCGCCAGTACCAGCACCAGCACCAGCAGAAGCGGACTCAGCGCGTGTTCGACCCACGGGGACCGGTGCAACCACATGCAGGCAGTCATTGCCACCACCACCACCACCACCACCACCACACGGTGTTTTACACCCCACCACAAACCCCGTCGCCCGGGTTTCGGAGCCGCAACTCGCAGGCGGGAGTTCCCTGTCCTGATCCTGCTTAATACGGGGGCCTCTGTCGACAACGCCTCCTCCGCCTCCTTCCTCCTCATCGTCCGCCGGTGCTGACACGCACAGTGCTGACACGGGCAGTAGCGCAGCAGCACCTGTTGCGGCGCCAGACCGCCCTGCCACGCCCTGCTCCCCGACGTCCCTCTCCCCCCCTTCCGCCTCAGGACGCTGCTCCTGCTCCTGCTGCTCCTGCTCCTGCTGCTGCTGCGGCGGCGGCGGCGGTGGCGGTGAGCCTTCCGCCAATGTCGCCACCCCGTCCCCCTTTCCATCCGCCGCCCCCTCCGCCGCCCCCTCCGCCGCCCCGTGCTGCTTCTGCTGTACTTCCAGTTGCCGCTGCCGATCCCGGT